CACGTACAAATGGAGTCATATATTCGTCCCACACCTGATCCCGAATATCACTCCAGAAGTTTCCGCTTGAATACAGCGCTAAGTCGAGAGCCATTCGGTATATTTCATGCTTTAAGTCAAACGACGCAAAGTGATAGTGAGCTATGAATGACAATCAAATATATTAAACTCATAGCCAGAAGCCGGTAGGGGTCGGGCGCACGACATGCCATACCTCTGCGTATTTTATCAAATTCCGATTCGGGAAGCGGTGACCCGTTGGCCACGTGTCGGCTACAGGAGGCGATCACAGCGTATGAGTTCAAAGGCCAGAGAGCAAAGAATTGGGGGAAGAAGTTGGCGACGTCCCACTCGGCACCGGATACGCCACTGATCTCGGCGTAAGTGCTCGCAGACAACGATTGGTGCATAATATGACCGAACTTAACGAATTGACAAATATTTCATTTGTATTAAACACTGAATTTTATATAAATTGAAATAATTTCTAATATAAAACCTGTTTAAATAACGATATGATTTGACTAAACGATAACTGTGTCGACTGGCCATCGATTACTGGTTCGGCAAAATTGGTGATTAAATAAGAGACGGATTTAGTGGACAACAAATTGTATTGATTGAGCGCCAACTCGTTGTAAGAGGTACTGGTCTTATGGTTGAGTCGACAATAGGGGTCGAAATAAAACGAGCCGACAATTGCTCCGGTATTGGTCGACATTATACGAAACAGTTGGACGTCTTTATGCCAGGCGTCGACTTTCATTACCCGTTCAATCTTAATGTCGAAGAGGCGTTCGGCCAAACCAAACATACCGTCGAGTACGGCATTCAGCGGGAAGTACTGTTTGACGGCCGAGTCCTCTATCGAGTACTTCACTTTCAGGAGCTTCCGCTGCCAATACGGCAGATCCCAGAGCTCGAGCTTCTCTCCCTCGTGGGAACCGCTTTCACGCGCGAAATCAGTCAACTCTTTAAGGTTGGCGTCGAAGGCGGGCTTCGACTTCGTGTGAAGAGTCGATATAAAAGTGCGGACGTTATCCAAATTGTGGGCCATTTTGGTCTCCATCGAGAGGTCAATGTAGTTCTCAAAGCCGAGCACTTTTGCCTGTTGTTTGCGATGGAAGCGTATGTTCTCAATGATGATACTGTTGCTGATCTTGCGGTCATTGCCCGGCGCGGCCCTCGAGTTGTACGCACACCACAGGTTGTATCGCAACGCCCGGTCCGGACAGTACTCCATGAATGGGTCGAATACAGAGGAGTGCAGAGTGACGGTGGCGTTGCTGTGACTGCCAATGGATGCGATCAATTCGTCGGGCAATACGGCCAGAAGCGCCGGATCGTCGACAGTATGCGTGAAACGTCGCGTGGCTTCCATTAAATTATGGTTAAATTTGCCCCTCTCTTCGGCCAAGTCTTTGTGTATTTGATTCAAAGCCGACAATTCGGCGGCCGATAGAGTGGAGCCAAACAGTTTGGCCTCCAATAGGTATTTGTCGACCACACGCTTCTGCGCGCCCGTCAACTGATCCCTATTAGACTGGATTTCACGCATAAAGAAATATATGGGTTGACTCTGAAAGCGCCGCACTTTTGCCATTGATATGCGGTTAAAGAATTGGTCGAAATGCCGAAAATCGTAGCGATTTTTGTCGACGTTTCGCAACAGCCGAAGAGTGCACAGACCGTAGTCTAAGGGAACCAATCGTTGCTCAATCTGTGCCATCACTTCGTCAAAACTTTGGCTCATTTTGTCTAAGGATTACAAAAAACAAAATATGATATTTTTGCTGCGATTGTAATGAAAAACAATTGTCAAACTTTGATCCAACTGTTGCTCCAGTTTGTCGAGACACGAGTCAAACTCGATGGACATCTTCGCCACGGCTTTCACACACTTTTCGGGCGACAGTTTGGCGAACCGTATCGGCCGGCCTTCGGTGGGCAGTGACAGCAACTCGTTGTTTTCGGCCGTATCCGACGGCACGTCCGGGAATCTAATCCAATGGATTGTGATATTAGACAACAAAATGAATGGCAAATACGTGTGAAGACATACAGGATGTAAACGCCGGGAGGTTTGCCGACTTTGAACCAACTCTTGCCAAACAAATGCCGGTTAAATGCGGTGATAGTCGTCGGCCGTTGCCATCGGTGCCGATGCGGTGATGATAGTGTCCACAGCCGTAGACACGGCCTCGTGAGCGATAGGTTTGCCATTTAGTGGTTAATTGGTCTCAAATGCGGTGATTGTATGCCATTTGAGGCCAGAGTTTGCGGTGTTTTGTGTTATGAAAAACACTTTACAAACAAATCATATGTTTTTTGGTGTAAACATTGCAAACCATTGCACGAAAGTCTGCTTTTGGGCGCAAACACACCGTTTGGAGGCACCACTCGTACCAACACTTCATCTCTCTATTCAATGAATAGTAAACACAAGTCAAAACCTTTTTAAAGTTATATAATACGGTTGGCTGTGATATGATTGGCTGTGCGACACTACTCAACTCACACACAAGTCTAACAGCCAATCATATTGCTGTAGTGAAGGTCACGTACGTCCGTTACTATTATATAACTTTAAAAAGGTTTTGACTTGTGTTTA